TATCACTAATCTCTCCGTTATCAGTCTTGGGGTCTGACCTTTCCTAGTGGGTGGAGCATGCAGAGACCTCTGTCTTCTCCCTGTTCCCCACACTCTTTTTATTCAGATAAATCTTAGATAAAGTGAGACAGGGGTGAGGAAGAGGAGGCCTGGAGAGGGAGGGAGGAGGATGAGAAAGAAGGTCCTGCGCCTCCTTCCTGACAAGGATGGATAAGGGGGGGTGGGATTTCCCCTACTCACATCACAGAGCCCAACGCCTTGGAACCCCACCCGCCAAGCTCTCCCCCTTGGAGTTCGGGAGAAGCATCAGGGTATACTGGGATTTGGCTCCTCCGCTCTTTGGTGCCCGGGACACTGTGCTAGTCAACATCTCTCTTTCCTCTTGAGCCATCAGCTGCCACAGCGCTCCCCTACCCAGACTTCAGACAGTGACTGTCAGTTTGCCACTGCTTCAGATCAGGAACTGCCTGGATGTCAAGCCCATCGTGAGCTGGACTGGGTATTACTCTCCTGGGGTAGTGCTCTTGGTTTGCAGATGTTCTGGAGGGTCTTTCCTACCATACAGCTAAGGTTTAAGTATGTAGAGGCCGAAGCATGATCTCTCAGACACTGGAAACAGCTCAGCTGCAGGAGGTTTTGCTGCTCATCTCAACCCCTCCTTTTTTTTTTTTTTTCACGAGGATAGGGTTTGTCCAGTTTCTAAGACAACTGAGTTCATTAACAAGCCGGGTAAATGACTGACCTTACCAACATTCAGAAATGCAAAATTAGTTCATGTTTTCACTGAGTGGCAAAGTTAAAGACTGACAACATACAGTGTAGTTTGGTAAGACAGGACTCCCCGTGCGCTGTAGCACACACTCAGTTATTGCTGTCTTGGGAATGAGCGTCTATCTATTGCAATGAGAGAAGTATGTACTCATTTCCTCTCTTTCCTTTCCATCCCTCAAATCCCCCTTCTTCCTTCCACTACTCTCTTTCAAAACCATGGGCTCTTTCTTCTTTAATTGCTTTTAGATACCCGCCCCTGTATTCCCAAACATGTAAATGCAACCCAATCAGTCTTTATAATGTTACTGGTGTGTATATGTCTTCAGGGCTGAGCATTGGTTTTGCATACCTGGCGTGGTGTGCTCTTCCCGAGGAGGACTGTTTCCCCCCCTCTCAGCATGCCTTAGTTGCCTGTAGTTTGTGTAGGGTTGAGCCCTCGTGACTTCTGCACAGTTAATTAATTTATTTTATCTTGGTTTTTTTTTTTTTTTAGATGGGGTTTCTACTTAGTCTGTAGACCAGGTAGGCCTTGAACTCAGAGATGTGGTAGCCTCTGCCTCCCGAGTGCTAGGATTAAAGGTGTGCTCAGCTAAGTGCTGGGATTAAAGGCAAGCTCTACCACTGCCCAGCTTGCACAGTTACTTTAGTGGGAAAATGAAACTGACACATGATTAAATGTCCATCAGTAGGACATATTTTGATGTAAGCATAATTTTACATAATTATACATTCAGTTTCAACTTAGGTGAATTAGAACTATATGATTTTTTTCTAGATACCTATGGTCATTCTCATGGAATGAGAAAAGTAAATTATAGTGCTGAACATACCATATGTGCGTTATTGTAAGAATGCAATAGTCTAGCTCTTTCTCTAGGAACAAATGCTTGTGAACAGCAGGATGCAGAAAATGGGGTACAGCACTCACTAGACATTTACCTCCTTGGGGTGTGGTGAGAGTTATGCATGTGCTTGTGGGGGTGTGAGTATTAGGAACTTTTTCTCTAATGTGTTTCAAACACAAAGTGCAAGTTAATACATTTAGACTCTCACAAAGCAGATGAAGATGCAGGACGGTGGAGGCAGAGGCAGGCGGATCTCTGTGAGTTCCAGGCCAGCCAGGTCTACAAAGCTGCACAGAGAAACAGTGTCTCAAAAACCCAACCCCTCCCAACAAAAACAAAAACAAAGCAGATGAAGCAACATGGTTGCTAACCTTATACGTACGATTTGACCAAGGTCTTAACACTGGGCGACATCCAAGCGTAGGCTGTTGCCCAGGTCTGCTGATCCTCGTGTTTCTCTCCCCACCTCCCCCACTGCTGTCTGGGGAAAAGTGTAGCTGGCAGATTTCATTACTGCACTTGGTTGTCCCCACCTTGCCCTCGCCACTCCACTGAGGAAGCAAGCTAAGCCAGCAAAGCTATCAACTGCAGCCAAATCCTCCGTGTTCATCCCCGGCAGTCTCCTTTGTTAAGGAAGCTCATGTCCATGGCTGGGCTAGCTAGTGCATGGCAATCCCTAGCATTCAAGGGACCAAAGAGGTGATGGAAGATTTATTTATTTTCTCATTGTCCAGTCCAGACATTTCCTTGAGCTGACGGTTTTTCTGAAGTGGGCATTTTTTATTTCATTTCTTACTTGTCACAAGAGCTATTATTGTACCCTTGGGGTTATAGGGAATCTAATCTCACCTGTGACCGTCTTTTCATACTCCAAGTCTCCGGTGGCGTCACAGAATTCGCGCAGTTGAATCTGGGACCTGCTATGCCTCCGCTGGGCTGAAGTCAACCTGTGGGGCCCTTTGAATAGCTCACAGTGCAGCCTCCATCAAGTGCAGGGCAGGGCGTACTTCTTCTTACTGTAGTGGGATTGCTTTTTTTTAAATTTATTTGTTTGCTTCTGTAAACTGTTTGTAAATTATAGAAGTATGGGTCTGGACCTGAACAAACTTTAGGCCATATGGCAAGTAGAATAATAAATTACCCCAAACTAAATCCTAATCCCAGAAACCTGTGAGTACCTTACTCTACTTGACAAAGCAAACTGTGGATGTGATCCACTAAAAGACCTGAGATGGACCACTCACTACTGGGATAGGTCCGCTCTTCCTATATGGATTTTAAAAGCAGGGGCTCTTTACCAAGGGCAGAAAAGTCTGTGAACAGGGGTGAGACATTGCAGGATTTGGGCGTAGAGGAAAGGGCAGCAGGCTACTTCAGAACCCAGGGAAGGGAAGAGAAGGAAAGGGAGGGGAGCGAGGGGAGAAGAGGGAAGGGAGGGGAGGGGAGAGGAAGAAAAAGGAAATAGATTCTCCCATGGGTCTCCAGAAGAAACTCAGCTCTGCCCATATCTTTGTCCACAATGCTATGAGACCTGTGCTGGACTTTCAAGGTCAGGGTGAACCAGATGTGACTCCACTCTCCAGATGTGCTACAGCGAGGGCTCTGGCTCCACTCTCCAGATGTGCTATAGCGAGGGCTCTGGCTCCACTCTCCAGATGTGCTATAGAGACGGGTCTGACTTCACTCTCCAGATGTGCTATAGAGACGGGTCTGGCTTCATTCTCCAGATGTGCTATAGTGAGGTGTTTGACTCCACTCTCCGGGTGTGCTATAGTGAGGTGTTTGACTCCACTCTCCAGATGTGCTATAGAGACAGGTCTGGCTTCACTCTCCAGATGTGCTATAGAGACAGGTCTGGCTTCACTCTCTCCTTCCTTCTGCTCATGCTTCCTTCCTCTCCAAGAAGCTGCCGGCAGTGCCCAGGAGAAGTCAGCTTCCTTGAAAACAGCCCAAGGAAGGGAAGTAAACCTTTCAACCATGACAAAAGGCATTCTGTGACATCTGATTAGGCCAAGCTTGGTTGTATGCTCTTCTCTGAACCAGCCCTGGGAAGCCCAGCTTGGTGGTTTAAGCTGGGTGCCTAAGGCAGATCTTGGCAGGGAATAAAGATGGTTGTGATCTGCCGTCCACAGGGAGGAAGGGGGATCCAAGGGAGAGCTGAGGGATAGAGCTAGAGCCCTCGCGGCTGCACACCTGCCTCACTCTGCCTTCAAAGGCTTGTCACCTGCAATAGCACATTTCCACACCATCCAAACCAGTTCAGTTGGGTTTTCTATTACTCGCTGACCAAATTACCCACTACCCATGCCCTCTGGGAAGCAGCCTAACTGTCTGCCATGTTTTTCCCCTCACCTTCTTGAGGCCTGCAGTCATTTCCACTTACGACTTTTGACCTTTGCTGTGTCTGCACAGAGACAGCTTGCCTTTCAGGAGCTAGCTCCCATGCCTGGGGCCAGCAACATGGAGCCCGCCCAGTTCTCTCCCCACTCCCAAGCCCCTGGAGAGGGCTACTAGTTAAACCCAGCACTTTTTGGCCCACTCACATGTGTCCTTGCAATACTCACTCTATGCCCCAGGCAGCCATGACCAATAGAGAGGTCCACCAGACGCCATTTGTCTCTCCACTTTGTAAGCAGTTCATATTGAGAAAAAAGGTCACCAAAGGCGGCTATCATATATAGACCAGGCTGGACTAGAACTCACAGAGATCCACCTGTCTCTGCCTCCTGAGTGCTGGCGTTAAAGGTGTGTGCAGCACCAGTAGACCGAGAGACCACCACTACAGCTCTGATCTCGTAATTCAAGAAACTCACTAATTTCCCCCTCCCCCCCATCCCTGTTGTGGGATATTTGTACACCGTGTGAAGATGTGCTGCTGTGATTGGTGTAATAAAAAGCAGAGTGACCAATGGCTAGGCAGGAGAGATAGGCGGGACTTCCAGGCGGAGAGAGTCGATTCTGGGAAGAAGAAAAAGGAGGAGGAGGACGAGGAGGACGAGGAGGACGAGGAGGAGGAGGAGGAAGGGGAAGAGGAGAAGGAGGCAGAGGAGGAGGAGGAGGAGGAAAAGGAGGAATAGGAGGAGGAGGGAGAGGAAGAGGAGTAGGAGGAGGAGGAGGAAGAGGAGGAATAGGAGGAGGAGGAGGAAGAGGAGGAGGAGGAGGAGGAGAAGGAGGAGGATGAGGAGGAGGAGGAGGAGGAGGCAGAGTCCCCAGGCAGCCTGAGGAAGCAGCATGGGTAGTACAGAGAGATGAGGTAGCGAGCCATGTGACAGAGCGCAGATTAACATAAATGGGTTGATTGAAGTGATGAGAGCTGGTGGGGCAAGCCTAAGCTAAGGCCAAGCTTTCATAGTTAATACTGAGTCTCTGTGTCGTCGTTTGCAGGTCGGTGGTCCTGATGAAAACGAATCTCCACGGCGGAGACCGATTGTAAAGAGTCTGACTACACGTCACACTTTGGGGTCTTTGTCTACATCAAGGTCTCCACTATCACTTCACACGGAATTGGCTGAGGCGTTTGGAAGACATCTGGAGTGGTCACAGGTGGGAACTCAGGTCGTAAGCAAACAAAAGACAGAAGCCAATGGAATGAGCTGGGGCAAGGAAGTGACTGAGGGCTTACATCTCAGCACACGCTGTGCCTTTATACCCCTGTGGCCAATCCCAGGCCACATGTGACAGTGGACGTGGGCAGCTGGCTGTTTCTTACTGGACAAAGAGTCTTAGTTCCAGGTCCGGGCTGGAGCTAGCCACCTGAGACAATGACATGGCCTTGTTCAGAAAAGGATGCATGGCTGTGGGGAATCAACCCCCCCTTCCTGCCTTCCCACAGAAAAATTATATGTCCAAGGTCTGATGAGAACAAAATATGCAAGTTAGATTTGGTAAATAGGAGGGATGCTTGCATTTATGAAAATAGTTTCCTAGGAATAAGTTAAAAAATAAAGGGGAAACTTGTTTCATGGGAATATATTATTTTTTGTTGGGGGAAAAACCAAACAACTTTCACTTTCTTGAAAAAAAGGTTTTATTTGTAGCCCTGTCTGGCCTGGAAGTCACTACATAGACCAAGATAGCTTTAACGGGAGCTAGGTCAACTGGACTTCAAAGACACAGGTTAGCGAGCTTCATAGTATCATCTGGATAGTTAAGGGCTGCTGCTGGGCTGGCAGGCATGGGTATGCTTCTACAGAAGACAGTCTCTGTTACTAGAAGATGGGTTGACATCTTCACGCTGAAGCGTTATGGCCTCTGCAGATCATGCTCTCTTAGGTTAAAAACACAAACACAACCAAAGGTTGACATCGGTACCCCGTGGGGGAACAGAAATGAGGGCTGCTTGCCTCCTTCCTCGATTCTCTAAATGTTTGGGCATGTTCATACAAACTTAAACAACTGGGTCTCCTTTGCAAACTCACAGTGTGTGTTCTGCAAGTGTTACGTAAGTTAAATTGAACTGGGGCAGCATTGTACTCAGAACCAGAGGTCTGCACCGTAAAGTTACTGGTGTGTGTGTGTGTGTATGTGTGTGTGTGTACTTGTGTGTGTGTATGTGTGTGTGTGTCCGTGTGTGTCCGTGTGTATGTGTGTGTGTACTTGTGTGTGTGTTTGTGTGTGTGTGTGTGTGTGTTAGAGATGTCTTACTCATCCTCCATGCTTGCCCTCCTTGTTCAGACAGCTCGTCAGGTGAGGGGAGACTTCAACATAGAAAATTCTGCATCATGAGCCGAGCTGTGTTTTTGTTATACGTGTTTGCTAGGCGTGTGGTTTTGGGCAAATGGCTTTCCTGCTCTGATCCCATTTCCTCAGCTGGAAATGGGGATAACTGTGCTTCCTCTATATGACACACACGTTCTCTATGAAAGGAGTTTGAGAATGGCCATGGGAATGTACACCAGGCTTTTCCTTTTGGGCTACCGACCAGCCCTTAAATCGTGACATATTTTAGTTCTGAATGATCAGCCCAGCTTAGGTCTGTGATCAGCCTGGCTTAGGTCTGTGATCAGCCTTGCTAGGTCTCTGAACTTAAATTATCCTGTTTCTCTTTCTCTACGCTTGCCTCAAGCTTTTTACTCTTTCTTTCTTTCTGTACGTCTTACCCTGTGCCTGCTGATTGGAGGCTGCTCAACTCTTTATTAGACCAGTCCAATGCCTTAGGCGGGCCAGGTGAGTGTGTGATCACAACACATCTTTACACAGTTAAACAAGTGTAACAACGCCCGCACACAGTTAAGGTAATATTCCGCAGCATAAACAAATGCAGCACACCTCTGCCCGGCTAAAATATATTCTACAACAGAACACCCAGTTTATGGGAGCTACAGAGCTTTCTGCTACTCATGGCTGCAGTTAAGAATCTGAGGTCTGTGTCTTTTCATAGCGAGTATCTTCCTTGCAGCTCTGATGCAACAGTTTGACAGGCGGCACCTGGAGCATCTCAGGGGCATGCAAAAGGAAGTGGAGCCCTTAGACTGATGGACTCTGCGGCTTGGCCTGGGAAAGTAGGTTTAAGCCCTCAGCCCTCAGCCTGTCCCTTGTTGCACTAGGGACAGAGGCACTTGATACAATTATTACGACGAGTAAGAAGGATCCAGTGCGCAAAGTGTAAATCCTCGGTACTCAGCAAATGGTTCCCTTGCTGAGATCACTCTTGCTTGTGTCAAGTTGACATAAAACTCACCAGGGCTTCTCCCTCCTGCGTTCATGTCATGTGTGTCATATTGCTCTCTCTTCTCCACCTTGCTGTAAACTCTTTCTCCTCTCACTGTCTCCTCTCTACAGTCATCTCTCTCTGTCTCTCTGTCTCTCTCTCAAACACACACACACAGACACACACAGACACACACGCACACACAGACACACACACACAGACACACACACAGACACAGGCACAAACACACAGACACACACACAGACACACACACAGACACACACGCACAGACACAGACACACGTGCGCTCGCATATACTCCACACACAACTGGAGTCTGCATATCTGCTGATGGATTTGTAGACTGGTTTCGTTTCTTAGCTTTATGAATAGTGCAGCAACAAGGCAGGGTGTGCAAGTGTCTGGGGCATGCTGACTCTGGCGCATACGCACAGGAAAGGTGTCAGTTATTTACTTATTTTAGTTTTCGAGGAACCTCCCGCTGACTTTCATAGTGTCTGCATTGGTCTACAGCCCTATTGGCAGTAAGTAACTGCCACTTTTCTCACATTCTCATCAGCGCTTGCTGTCCTTTGTGGTCTTGTTGGTAGCCATTCCTACTGGAATGAGATAGAGTCTCAAAAAATTGATTTAGTTGGCATTTCTCCGGTGTCTAAGGGTGCTGAACAAGTTTTTAAGTGTTTATTGGCTGTTCACATTTTTTCCTTTGGAGAAATGTCCATTCCATTCATTGCCCCATTAATTGATCCGATGGTATAATCTTCTGGTATCTAATCTTCCACTTCTTATATTCTAGAGATTAATCTCTTGTCAGATGCACAGTTAGTAAACACCTTTTCCACATTCTGTTTCTTCACTCTGTGATCTCATTTGTCAACTCCCGGAATAGTTTGCTGTGCTATTTGGAATCTTTTTCAGAAAGTCTCCCTCCCTCCCTCCCTCCCTCCCTCCCTCCCTCCCTCCCTCCCTCCCTCCCTCCCTCCCTCCCTCCCTCCCTCTCTCCCTCTCTCCCTCTCTCCCCCCCTGTCTCTCTCCCTCTCTCTCTCTCCTCTCTCCTCTCTCTCTCTGTCTCTCTGTTTTTCAAAGGTTTGGGTCTTAGATCCATTTTTTAATTGATGTTTTGACTGGGTGAGAGAAAACTGTCTAATTTGATTCCCCCACGGTGGGCACTGAACAGGTTTCCTAGCAACATTTGTTGAAGAGTCTGCCTTTTTCCCTGTGTGTTTTTTGACACCTTTGTCCAAAACTAGATGGCTGTAGCTCTGCGGGCTTGCTTTTGGGCTCTGTGTTTTATTGCACTGTTTTGTGCCGCCTTCGCTCCTATGACTCCATAGTGCACCCCGAGACGAGCTGCGAAGCCCCCAACATTGCCCTTTCTGATCACAGCTGCTTGGGATATTTTGGGTGTTTTGTACTTCCAATTGAATTTCAGAACTTCCCCCCCTACTCCTGAGAAGAATGTTACTAGAATTTCACGAGGTTTGTGTTGAAGCTGTAGATCTTTTTCAGTAACATAGTGTCACTTTTATAATATTAACTGTGTCAGTCTTTGAGCATGGGAGGTCTTTTCTTCTAGCATCTTCTATAGTTTTTTCTTTAGTGTAATAGTTTTTTCATCACAGTGGTCTTTCACCTCCTTGGTTATGATTATTCCCAGTTACTTTTCTTTTTTCCTGAAGGTCTCGTGAATGAAATTTCCCCACCCTGATTTCTCTATCAGCAAGTTCATCGCTGACACACAGAGAAGTTACTGCTTTTTGTGTACGGTTCCTATATCATTCTCCCTTACTGGTAATGTTTACCAGGCCCCTCAAAAAGGCCAAAAATCCAAAAGAGAAAAACATAACGCTACAATCTTTGGCAGAGTAATCTTGATGAAAATAACACTGAATTCAAGTCGCTTACTGCTTAGAATTTGGTGTTAAAGAAATAGTTCTCAATTCAAGGTATATAGGTATGAGCGTGGAGTCCTTTTTACTTTTGGTCCCTACAGCCTAGAAACTGACATCACTTTCCCAGCAAGCTATCTGGGGAGTTTTGTACGCTTTTAGGCTAGGACTTCATGTATCAGCATCCGTAAGACAGAACCTTTTGTGGATGTGCAGGTGTGGACCTATTAGGGAGCAGGAGACACCCACGTCAGGGGAGTGGCAGGCTGCATCCCTCACCATAGTAACCATTCTGGAGGCCTCTGCATCCCAGCAACTGGAGTTGGTAAATACATTGCCCACGTACAGTGAAGGCTTTTATGTTTGTGTCCTGCAGTGAGGGTTTAATTTGTGTGATCCCTCCCGTGGAGGGAAGAGCGGTCCTGCAGCTTACTGAAGTCCTTGTTAAATGCTTCCAACAGAAAGGCTGCAGTTCAAGCTCTGCTGTGAATGCCAGGCTGTTCATCACAGCCAGTGTGTTGTCCAGAGTCGGACCAGAAGGTAGCCTCTTGCAGGCGGGCGGGCGGGCGGGCACATGTGTGTCTGTAGGAGCCGCCTTTTGACTGCACAGTGTCACCATGTGGGGGGGGGGATGCTGTGAATGGGGTCTGGCATGCAGATTCTCCCCTTTATTCCCCTGCTGTTCTGCCACACCCCACCCCACTACTCCGCCCTTCCTCCCTGCTCTCCTGGCAGGGGCCACATGTTTCATCTTTATATCTTTTATTGGCTTTTTCAAATGCTGTCACCCTTTTAGTAGAACCAGTCTGTGTCCCACAGGTGTTAGGTTTCAAGCCTGGCACAAATGGCTGAGGTGTCTGTTTAGCATACCAAAGTGGACCTGGCTGCCAGGTTCTCCCTGCATCCTTTGGTTCCTATGGGTTACAGGGCCTTCCTGGCCCGCATACCCTGTCCCCCTCCCCTGAACTCTCCAGGCTGGGGCTGCTCTGCCCTATATAATCCAACCAGGTTGGTCGCCTGCCCTCTGTGTGCTTTGGGCCTTCTGGCTGCTGCACCAGGTTCCCTCTCGTCGTCGTAACCCACGTTCAGGGGACTTTGACAGGTCCAGCTGACTAGTCCCGTCCTCTACCCTTCCCCCTTCCTCACATGGCACAGCTCAGTCTGCTCAGGTTCACTCTGTGCTCTCCCCGATGTCCCCGCCTCTGGCTATGTTCTCCCACATATCAGCTTTCTCCTCCACCCACCTAGGAGCAGCCATGCTCTGTCCCCCCCTCTGTCTGTCTGTCTGTCTGTCTGTCTCTCTCTCTCTCTCTCTGTCTCTGTCTCTCTGCCTTCCTTCCTTCTTTCTTCTTTCCCCCTCTCTGTCTGTCTGTTTTCCTTCCTTCCTTCCTTCCTTTCTTTCGTTCTTTCTAGTCATTTGGTTCTGGAACCTGGGACCAGTCATGGTCCTTTGCTTCTTATTTTTTATTTTTTCAGTCGACATGAATGAGGATATTCTAGAAACACTTGTGACCCTCACTTTGGCTCTCAAAACTGTTGAAATGATGGTCCCGGGAAACTGGAATTTCCAGCCCGAGAACGCATCATCCTGAAAGAAATTTGCATTTTTTTTCAGATCACCTTTCAGGAGAGGCTGGAGCCCAGCAAGGATGGGTCAGTGGTAGGAGGGACCACGCCTCGACTGAACTCGTACGTCACTGTGGTTCTCCTCCTAAATCCTTCACGTAAGGACTCCGGACTTGGGACTGGGGCTGCTGAATCTCTTTGTTCTTTCCCCAGTGTGACCTTGTTGAATAAGTCTCTTCATCTTCTGCTTCTCCCTATTAGCATGGGCCTTCTAATTGTCTTATTGGGGACAGGTGGCTGAGCCTGGTGTGTGAGGACAGCCAGAACACTGGCTCTGGCCCTAATAACTGGTGACACTAACACTTACCTAAGATTTGTAGACTTTTTATCTTAAATCATTTTACCTATAAAAAAACTTACAAAGAATTTTCACATAGCATTCATAAGGTTCTCCAAATAGTAACATCTTGTATAACCAAGTAATTCTAAAAGACTAGGAAAGCCTTCGCTGATGGGTTGGCTCAGAATGCAAACAGTTTGAGTTCAGACGTCGACAAGTCTCATGCCTACCCTCATTGCTCCCGTGGCCATTCTCCATCTTTGCAGGTCACTGTGAATCTTCCTTGAAAGCTCTTCATGGTTTTCCAGTAAATAGGAAATGTCACCTGCCCTCCACATCTGTGGGTTTCACGGTCTTGGATTCTGCTGTAGACTGTGGATTGAAAATATTTTTTAAGAGTTATGGACTTTATCCTTGTCCTTTATCCTCCAAATACCATGACATAACTATGATTACAAAACTTGTATTAGATAAAATTAATCTAGATATGATTTAACATTTACAGTATGACATGCATAGGGTATATGAAAAACTATACCATTTTACACAAGGATCTTAAACCTTCTCTAACTTTGGTATTTGAGAAATCCTGAGCCCAATCTACTCTGGATTTAGAGAACACTATATACCTTTCTCTTTTGTTAGAAAAGTAATTCTAGCATTGCATAAGTTGTTCTGTAATGTTTTTCCATCTAACATTTTGATCCAGAAATATTTCCATATAAACATGTAGGTATTTTTTTCCCAGTGTAACTTCCCATTACATGGATATATTTTTGTGTATTTAGCCAGTTCCTATTGGTGGAGGCTAATGTTTGGCAGGGATTCTAAAACCTGCTTTTGTTATCTTGTGTTTTGATGGACACATCTTAAACAATACACCGGTCAGGCAAGGCAGAGAGTGAATGCAATTCACCAGGCATATGCATCGGCTAGCTTTGCATGATCTTGGTTCTTCTTGTTGGCTGGGTGGCACTGTTGTCGAAGGCAGTAGGAAGTCACAGAAGGGAAAACCTATGGAGAATTATCATCATGTTCATTTGTAGCCAGCTAAAGGCCGTTCTGTGTGGCTGGAAACTCAGGACGGGCGTTTGAAATAGGAGACAGCTAACTGCATTCGTTAATGAATTTACCTGTCAGCTTCTGCTAGTCTCAGGCAGAAAGAAACCGGCAGCTGTATTTTCTCCCTCCGCTTTGCCCTTTAGCTCTGTAGGCAGTGTAAAGCTCCAAGCCGCTTCTCTGGTGCCCTTTTAATTTAAGCGGTGACAAGTTTGAGGATTGCTTGCTCAAGTGTGAGTGTTGAAACTTTTACGCTTCACCTGTGAGAATCTACCTCCCTGTCCTGTTGTGATATTTTGTTCCAGTTCTGACAAGGAATGCTTGCCTGGAGGTCAGAGGGCAGAGCTAGGCACTAGCTAACCATAGAGGTCTGGAAGTCTATACAGAGAGGAGACAGGAAGTGACAACACAGGGTGGAGACAGGAAGTGATAAAGGCGGGGCATAGATAGGATGAGGTTGAGGAGAAGTAAGAAATGACTGTGTTCTTTGACCTTCTGGCTTTTACCCCAATATGTGACTCTGGGTTTTTATTGTTAGGCTAATTAGGATTGCTCTACACTCTGCTAATTCTCTACCTCCTTGCTTATTCCTAGGGGTCTTTCCCTTCACACATGGGGGTGGGGGGGGATTGGCGGCCAGTGACCAAAACTGATGACAAAACTGTGATGCTGAGAAGACAGTTCCCTTCTTGAAGACACTCAGTAAGAGGAAAGACCAGAAGAACCTGCTGGTCCAGCCGCCCCCCCTTTTCTGTGGGAGGGGACAGGCACAGCTTGAGTGGGGGGGGGGATGATAGAGGCGGAAGCAGAGCAGATTCAGCAGAGCTGTCAGCTTGTGGGGAGTGAGGTTACTTGGTTATTCACTGGCAAGAGAAGAGGTTGGGGTGTCTGTCACAGGATCAGGAACTCGCAGGTTTATAGAAGGCACCCTTGCATCAAGCACTGTTGGGGAGGTATACATTGCTCGGACTTTAAAGATAATCCATGATAGCCAGAAAGTTAGCGTGCCCAAGGTGTCACAGTTCTCAGCCAGCACTTCTTGAGAGCTCACATTTTAACTGTGTCTCACCTTACATGTAGTAGAGCAGCCGGAATGGCTTGGGCTGACCCATTGCTCCATTCCTGTACCCCAGATTGTTGCCTCCTTGGACCATGGGTTTTCAGGTTGGCAGCTCCGGGCTCCAATCCAACCATTATCGCTACCAGGTAAGTGAGTATGAACCTGCGCATGTGCTGTAATCTTTCCTGTCCTCATGCCCAAACTAGGTTGCTCATGGGAGAGCAAGCCGGCTGCTGGAGATGCTGGGCACCCATCCAGGGTAGCAGAGACTGAGTCACACAGCCACTGCGATGTCACCACTGAGTCTGGAGGAAGAAAGCCTCAATTTGAGGTCTCCTCTGTGCTTCTTCACTAGCAAGCAGGTACAAATGGTGCGTAGCTGATTCAGTGAGCTTGATGGGACCCTACCTCTTGCTACCCCCATGCCCCATGCACAAAAAAAGAGTTGAATCTGGGACAAATGCTGTCCCAGTGGCAGGATTTCCTGAGATACTTGTTAGGAGGCAGCCAACCTACAATCCTTTCAAATTAGAAGGACTCAGGACATTTTAATAAACCAGGTGGAGGACATCTATCAGGGTCAAGCATTTTTATATGGCGCTCATGCAAGTGGGCTCTTTAAATTTGTTTTAGCCATTCATGTATGTTTAAGCAAACTGTTAATTTTATCAGGGGAAGCGCATGTCAACAGACATCCATTATGCTAATGAAAAAAACCTCAAGTGCTGGCTAGAGATTATTTAAATAGCTGAGGGTCTTGCAGTGACCCCCACAGAGTGTGGCTTTTTGGTTAAAAGCCAGCAAATTCCCCTGGAGTGTAAATGTCTGATTAGGGCAGTGATTGTCACATGGGTGTGGCCTAAAAGCACATTTACAGGACACAGTATGTTGAGACACTTAACAGTGAATTACAGAGGAGGGATGCCTTTCTCACCTTGTAAAAGGACTAAAGGAACACCCACCGTGCCCTGTCATCACCGGAGGATTTAATTATGAGGACAGAGCAATGCAGAGCTAAGCAGTCAGACTCAGAGCGCCGGCTACTACACACATATCCAAAAGTGTTCTTGATTTTTGGCAAGATGCTGAATACCTTTTTGTTGTTACCTAAAAGTTTCACCACAGACTTGAATAATATAAAAAGTTGTAATTCCTGACATGTAAGAGTTATTAATATTTTCAGTTAAAAACCATCTGTTAATCTTTTACATTTATCAATACAATCTCTGTAAGCTCCCACCTTGCTGCCTGGTATCTCTATTTGGAAACACATGGATAAACTTTTCTCAGACTGAAAGCTTTCTGTAGTAGTTAAAACTGATCGTTTTAGTTTATATGTTTTCCGTGCTCTTTTCCACTCCACTGGCCCACAGAAGTTTATTCTGACATGATACACTTAAAGATCCCTTATTGACTTTCATACAAATCTCAACCACATACAAAGATCCCTGCAAAGACTGCCTAGCCACCTCCCACAATTCCACTGTTTCCAGCCAATAATAAATCCCATCTTCGTCGTTCTGCTTCTTTGAGAGAACACTCATAGACTAAGTTTAATAAAAAGTTATGATCATTGTTTTATTTTTAAAATTACAATGATTCCGTGTAATTCATAGCTAATTATATATATATATATTTTTTTTTAAACTAGCTGTCCGCACAGTATTCATTCTGCAACCAAGTGTGGGAGCATAAAGAAGCCCTGGTGGTCCTGAAAAATAATTATAATAGAATTTCAGGATAATCTGAAGTAACTTTATTTTTGGACATTTTCTATAAATTTTCTTCCATTTATTTAATAAAAGCAAAAAGTTTAAGGATGGTTTAGAACAATTTGTCCATCAGCTACCACACAATTTTATTCTTTAATTAATAGCAGATAATAGTGAACATTGTATAATATGAAATGAGCTTTTAATTCAATTAAATGCTCTGTGATATATAATAAAATGTTTTAATTATGCTAGTAACAATCTCTACCAAATCTAGGAAGATACTACCAAAAGGTTATTTCTCATGTACCTTGAAAATCTAATCAATTTATCTGGAAAATATTCTTGTTACATTTAAAAGAATTGGCATTACTGTCCTCTGCTGCCTTCATTGCTGGAGGTGGCTTTTCTTTTTGGCTAATGACAAGTTCTAGAGTTGGGTATTGAGAAGAGCAGAAAATATTTGCTTGTGTTTAGAGTTGTAGAGAGTTATATTTTTAGTAGTTGGAATTTCTAGTTGATACTGCTCTTTGCTCTAGGGAAATTCTGCCTCGGATGATTCACCCTTTGGAAACTGATTTAAAATAAAGTAAAATGAAACAGGCAGCAGATGTAGACTTCCCGGCGAAGCATCGGCAAAAAGCTTGTAACCATAAAGAAACTGTTTAGCTTCGTCAAACAGAGAAATGCAAAGTAAAAAAACAAGTCTAGAAGACGTGGGGCGGCTGTGGTTTGGAGATCACCCACCGATGAGCAGCAGAGCTTGGCCCTCACTCGGGGCAGGAAGGTGGGGTATGAGAGACAATGCAGTCACCCTTGAAGATACCTTAAAACACACACACACACACACACACACACACACACACACACACACACACACGACAAACTAATTATGACTACTGGGGAGCAGACTGGGGAAATCCAGAAGACTGATTACACTGAGGCTAAGAATAAGGCTCTCACATTGCGGGCAGGGCTGGGAACAGTACCTCCCCCTTAGAGGAGAGCTGATACAGACCCCTGGCTATCATACAGGCATCACCTGGAAATGTCTAGGCTGTCAGACACAGCACAGCCAAGGTGGCAGGAGGTGAGCCAGCCCAATCTCCCCAACCCTGGCAAGGAACGGTAGCCTTCCCAGAAGGCATCTGCTGGAGAAAGGGGGCTGCATCTGTGTGGAGCCTCACGGGTGTTACCAGAGGCCCCAGGCACAGACCTGTCACTCATTCTTCTGCATTCCGTCCCTTGTCCAGGGTCAGGGCCTGCAGACGGGAACACGGAACCGTCTGCAGTCTGGGGCTCTGGCATCTTTCTCAGAGGCTCTCCTGGTGTCAAGAACACAAGCTCTGGCATCCCAGGGAAACACAGTGGGCAAAAGATGTATCCCCTTCTCTGTGTTGAACCCTTAAGCCCTCGGGGGCCAATTTTGATATGCTCAGCATCTTGGCAATTATCTGTGGTCCCACGCAACAGTTAGTTATACAGCCTTCTTACATCTGTGTTTTTTTCTGGTTGTAAAAATGTGAGCTCATTTAAAAACACACCCCACCCTCCCCGACAGACTGGGGAGATGGGTTAGGTCCCCAAAGTACCTGCCATCCATGTGTGAGGAACTCAGTCAAATTCCCGGTGCCCACATAAAAGGTGGGTGCGCCACCCATGGTTATAATCCAAATGTGAGGGAAGCGGACAGGGGAGGATTCCTGGGGCTTCTGGGTAAGCCAGTCTAGCAGAAACAGTGAATTGTAGATTCAGGGGAAATTGAGAGACATAACAGACACACAAAACAAACAACAAAGAATCCTCACGCCGACAGCCACCCCCTTAAAACCGTGTTTCTGTAAGTAATGATAAATTAATTCTTACTAGAATAATTAAACACATTAGCGTTTCCTGTTTATTGTCCATGTATACATAGCTTGCTGTGTGAGCATACTTGATCAAATTGGGCACAATCGGTATTTTACATCTTGCCTCTGTCAGTAAATCTTTGACTTAATGCATTTTTATTTTTAATGACTAAAGAATGACATTCAATTAAAGTTATTAAGTTATCAGAAAGGCACCATGGAAGACTTCAGGCAACCAGGGGAGGGGGGGAGGGAGATGAGGAGGGGGGGAAGGGGAAGGGAAGGTATATGTGTATGAATAATTATGTTTTTCAGCTTGTTTTAAAAACTAAAGAGGCAATAGATATTCTCTGCCTTCCTAGACTTTCCAATCTAGTAGAAGAAATGATAAGTGTATATAATTAACGTCAAAATGATGGCAGTGTGTTTAAGTCAAGGATTCCTCAGAGACAGTGGGCAGTGGGAGAGATCTGAGCATGTGCAGTCAGAGCACATGTGGCTGGCATTGGGGACAGGAACAGATCTTCCTCTGACTTGAGGACTGTTTTCTGTTGCAAATACAGAAGTCACAGAAAGCTTGGTGAGCTTATGACAAAGGGAGGTTGGAATCGCTGAATTTGTCTTGTTTTCATTGTTTCTGCCTCGGAAAGTTGGGATGGCAGGCAGGGCTCTCCATTGCCCTGCCTTTAGAGTGCATCATAGCCAGCCCACCTGCCCCTGGATTTTCTCTTTAGAGCCGGGAACTTACCGTGTGGCCGGGATTGGTCTCAGACTCATGGCAATCTTTATACTTCGGCTGCCTAGATGCTGCAGTTACAGGAGTTACAGGTGTATGCTACCACGCTTGGCCTTCAGATATTTCCAGAGTGAGGAATCAATGCGATATCTCTTCAAACACATACAGGTTCGGCTTCCGTCCTTTGGTTCCCCCGGAAAAACAGTAATTTAGAATGATTGGCACTAAGTAATGGAGATGCCCTCACAGGACATCAATGATGCATGTGACTCAGCAGGGAAATGACCTCGCTAATACAGAGACACGTCTCGGTTTCTGTTAATTTGTAGACTGCTCTGTGAACTTGCTGGGGGACAGGTTGCACTTTCAGATAAGAGGGCCTGGGGGACTGGACATGGGCCTGTGATTGTTGAGTGTCCTCGCCTGAAAGCAGAGTCCACTGACGTGTCTCTGCATAAAGTCCATGGCATGTTTCATACGGTTTTCTTCTGTAGGCTGCCTGGCCAGCATTAGTTCTTAAGTGCATAAGATAAGAGGGTTTGGGGCAGAGAGTGCATGATTTTTGCACACAGTTCAATTTTCTCAGCAGGCAACAGCACTCCTCTGTGAGGCGGAGCACCCAGGCCTCTTTCTTTAGTGCCTTGCCCAGGAATTCAGCCTGCAGGTGGCCGACACCTCTGCTTCTGTTCCTCCAGCCTGGAATGTCAAACCCAAAGACTTCCAAATGCCAGGCTGAGTGGAGCAGGTGAAGTGTTCTGCTCAGCCCTGGTGTGTGTGTGTGTGTGTGTGTGTGTGTGTGTGTGTGTGTGTGTATATGCTCTGCCCAAGTCTGGGCTTCTTAAGGAAGCTTGTGTGTGCCCCAGTGATGGCCAACCAGTGTTTTATTCACCAGCCAATGGGAGAAACATGCACAGAAGGACATCCCCTGTCACCCAAGGGTCTGACGTCACACACCAGAAGGGAAGCTCCTCTTTCTTGCCGATTCAGCGTTATGTTGCACTCCACAGTCTTTGGAGTGTGTAGCCGTAGATCATTCCTACCCAACACCCCAGTCACACACCATCTGACTTTGATCTCAACAGGGCCATACATTTTTGGACAAGAGGCAGAAGCAGTCCGCAGAGTTTCTCACAGCAAAGAAGGCCATTTGGAGATATTCCAGACCATTAAGTTATTGCTATAGCCCCATTTCCAACTCCAGTTCCAAGAGTAGACTCTCCATGTGCAGGAATGAGGCCCCGAGGCTGATTTTACAATGCTGACTGGGGAAGCCGTCGGCAGAGGGAGTTACTTACCCATGCTTTAAAAATGGAGATTCCACAGACATGACTGAGTGCCTCAGTTTCCCAAACTGCAGGTGAAAGAAGTGGTTTTGAAGTCATGGTTCTGCTGTGAGGAAGCTCCTGAGGCTGGGAGACCAGGGGGTGGCGGGAGGAGACAGAGGGAACAGCACTGGGCCAAGGGGGTTCTGAGTGTTTAGCTGAGCCCATGAAAGACACTAAGATGAGCAGGAAAACTCCAGTTGGAACCGTCTCCTGAGAGTCTGCAATTCCCAGAGTGCCACGGGCTTGGAGGCCATTTTGGTTACACAAAGCCAAAGTTTTCTCCCTCCAGTTGACTCAGCTGTTTTACAGCAAATGTTAGGGGAAAAGAGGAACTGCTTTGTAACCGTTCTTGTGTGCGCGTATTCCGTAAGGGAAGATCTAGCGTGAGTCTGTGGTGAAGTATTGGGTCTACTAACATCCCTTTCTGGAGTTGAGGGAGGGTGTGTGGGGCTCTTGAGTCAGCATGGGGGTGGGTAATGCTCACTGCAGTGCCTGAGGCCCAGCCCCTCTTGGAGACTACGTAGGCCGTTAATCGCTGTAGGATGCTTGAGGTGCTCTGTTTTGCGAAGCAGTCAGCAGTAAGCTGTCCATGCTTCTGTAGGGAACCCACACCCAAGCTCCTAAAGTAACGCTAATAAGACTTCTTGGCTAACGAGCTAGACTTGAGTGGCATTACCTCCTTGGTCTGCCAGGGGTGCCCTGTCCTGGGTTTGTTTGTAGCTCCCCGGGAAACGTTCCAACAACAGCACCAGAAAGGAAAGTCTAAGTGTGTGGGGAGTCAGAGCCAAGCGATGGACAAGGCCCCTCCCAGGTTCTGTACAAGTGTCTTTCTCCTCTTTCTCCCCCCTTTTTCCCTCAGTTCTCCCTTCTCCTTTTATGCATTTCTAGGTTCCCATCGACTGACACAAATGGTTTAGTTTCCAAAAGTGCTCAAGATTTAAAAGTCAGCGTGTCCTCTGAGGGAAGCTCAGTGTTTGTAACGTTTCTCTGTCTACTCCTCTCATGTTAACCCTTTCTTCGTTCTCAGTTTGCGGGTGAGCTTTTGCGTGGGCTCATGTCGCCGGGAGTCTCTTCCCCCTTTTATCCACAAAAGTCACCTTTGAGCGGTGGAGGTGCTGGAGCTGGGCTCTGAGCCCCATGTGCCCAGCCCGTTTCCTCTTACACAAATGTGGCTAAAACAGCTTCTTGGGAAATCTTCCTAGATTTAATCTGTGTGCTGGTTTTGCCTTGCTCCTTTCCTGATGCATTAATGGGAAGCCTTAAATGTTTTATGTGTGCTTTCTCCTTGCCACTGCTGGGTAGCAGTAGATCTCCTTAGACCAAGAGCTGCAGCTCTTCCCTCCTTTCTCTGACTCTTCTCTTCTGCGCATGACAACGCCCAGCATTCAGGCCACGGGAAAACCTGATGGGCTGGTAGAGAGCCGATCTGGTCTACGTGAGAAGTGATGTCACTTTGCACACTTGCGGAGGGTTAGGTTTGCCTTGAGGATGCAACGCTGGTGCTGTAAGCAGAATGAATCCAACCAGTAAGATCAGAGCCTTGGTGAGCACATGTCAGCAGACTTATAGCCTTGAGTCCTCTCAACACGGAAGACCTTTCAATACACACCTTCCCATTACTTGATGAAATGATGCTAACTTGCTGTTCTCATGTGAAGAAGTGATGCGATTCTTCTGCTCATCCTGAATTTCTCGGTTTTTATACCCTACTTCATAAATCATTGTGATACTGACAAGTTGATGAGCGCGTTCACCCAACAGACTGGCATAGTAGGGTGAGTTTATTTAGTGTGTCGAATGACAGAATGGCCGGCGTAAGACAGTGAGTGGGCTATGGTGGTCTCCATTTTGGAGCAATCCTCCTTCAGTGAAGGTGAGCTGTGGAGCCTCACCTACTGTGGAATAAGGTGTGAGTCAGTCCTCATCGGCTGTGCTCGGTCACGTCTTACTGCTGTTTGTAGTTACAAGACAGCTGCGGTTTTCTGCTTGGAGATTCTTCTGGGATGAAGATTGCACCCGGGACTTGCTCCCTTTCTGGTCTCTCCATCCTGGCCTTCCCTCCACGTTTTTCTTGGGCACATTGACAAACCTAACCTCGGGAAGCTGGCTGGGCATCTCTTCTCCAGTGGCCTGTTGTCCTAGCTGTCATTTCCTACTCCGGCCAGGCTTCTGAAGGGGGTCGTGGTGGGAACCTCCATCCCAGCATCTTCCAAGTTCTTGATGCTGGTCCTCATCTCTACAGTTCCTCCAGGGAAACAATTGTTTCACTCCACAGGTCAGCGAACTAGTGCGAGAATTCTGGTCATTCCTATCCCGTGTATACCTTCTGGGAATGGGGAATAACTACAGGATGAGTTTGGAGGTCCACTGGACCTACTGTGAGTTGGACTTTAGACAAATCTCCATTAATCACCTGACCTCCTTAAGTGCCTACTGGAGGGTCACAGTGTTTTCTTGGGATCAGCGTATGTTCAGTATCCAACACACCCTGGAAAGTCTGATTGTTTCCTTTCCTCCAGCGTATGGTTACCTTTGAGAAAGGCTGAAGGGTTCTGTGGGGGGGGGGAAGGACTGGAGAAATGCTAACAGTAAAACTCTTGGGCATTTTACCAAAGTCCTTCCTTGGAGAGACCTGGCGATGCCATCATTCAAGGGACCCTGGGTCTGCAAACTGCATCAGGTCTGGAAATTGGTTCATGACCCAAAATCCCCATTTGCCGCAATTCAATGGAACCTTTCTTTCGTTAGCTTGAGAATTTTTCTGCTTGTACAGATCAAACAAATATTCAGTAGATGTGGTGTTTTGAAAGAAAATGGCCCTGGTATGCTCACAGCAGTGGCACTATTGGGAGATGTGACCTTGCTGGATTAGCTGTGGTGTTGCTGAGGAAGTGTGTCACCGGGGACTAGGGCAGACTTTGAGTTTTCAGATGCTCTAGCTAGGTCCAGTGTGGCTGTTTCTTCCTGCTGCCTGTGGATCCAGATGT